AGTTGTAAGAGAGTCTGAAGCCATATTTCTTTTTCCCCCATTTTACATTTATTGGGTAATAAACACGCTTTTTATTGCCGCTGATCACATCTGTGAGTGAGGCAGCCATAAGCGGATTAAATCACGCATATCAGGACATGTTACACTCCCTTTACACAATGACTTTCAGCTGGGAGTGGTTAGGAAATGTACATAAAAGGGAAGCAAAGTCATATATCTTTAAAGGTCCCCTACATTGGGAGTGCAGTGCATTGATTGATGAGATGGGCTTTTCCTTTCCAGAGGTGAAAAGTAGAAATCATGTTACAAAATACAAACATTAACCAGAACATGAGCAGAATATTTCCTCTTTAAAGAATTTTTTGTCAGAATTTTGAGATTGCATCTAAATATTGTTCATTTCGTTGACTAAAACTATGACGAAATATGTTCGTCAACGACCTTTTTTTCCATGACGGAAACGAGACGATGACGAGACGGCACCGACGGCAGTAAACAATAACTGTCACGAAATCAACGTTGACGAAACGTTGACGAAAAGTCCAAAATCTCTCTTTACTTTCGTTGACGAAAAATGAGGAGACGAAATATTATCAAAGATAACGTTACATCTCTGATAGTCAGTTTTTCTCCGAGCAGTTCCATTTCCGGTGCTGCGGCTGGGCAGCAGCTGTCTGTCCGTGCTGCGCGCGGCGGTACATTTGAATTACACCGCGGCAGAATATGAACTGTCAGGAAGACTCGGGTCTAACTCATGGTCTAACTAATCTTATTTAACAGAAAATAAAATGGCAACAACAGGGCTTGGGAGCAGTGGTCGCGTTAACCGAATACCCCCCGTCAGCGCGAGTGAGTGATAAATTGTGCACTCGACGGGTAATAATGGATTATGACGGAAATGTTACGACCCTGTCCGTCAAAATGACTGACAACGAAAAAGTCTAATGCCACCACCACTGCTCGGGAGAAAGAAACGATGTGATATTTGGGCCCATTTTCACTACAATGAGGCGGAGGAAAAAAAGCGAATGCATTGTTTTATCAGAAGGGAAGCAATGTGGCCATAACACAGCTGGTAAAAACACCACAAGCCTGACCAGATACTCTCTGCAAAGCTTCTTAATAATTCAACCTGTGTTTTTCATCAAATAAGGACAAGAAAATTCTTATTGTGAAATAAATTGGACTAAAATGACAAATGATTGGTTTTGGCTAGACTAGTTTGACTGAAATGTTCTATATAATCTGATGACTAAAAAAGATTCAACAGTTTTCATTGACAAAAAGGAGACTAAAATAATTATTTTTATTTGACTAAATTGCTCAGACTTTTAATCGACTAAATCTTGACTAAAATAATTACTGTTTTAGTCGACTTAAGGGCAGATCATGACGTGAGGAGGCGACGTGTGTCTGAGGTTTACCTGGCTGTGATCTGGGTCATTGGTTTCAGGCTGAGGGAGGAGGCCACCTGTCTGAGATGCAAAGTGTGATCTGAATTAGGATGTAACTTAATCCCCCGTGTGAACTGCAGTGAGCTCCACATAAACCTCCTTGGGGTCGAAAACCACTCTATGAAATTGCAGCGGCGAATAATCGGACTTTAATCGCTTTACTACCACAAACTTGTTATTGCATTACATTTATTAGATTCTCGGTTTGTCTGTCTATCTTCTTTTTTATGGAGTAATTCTATTTCATTCCAAATGATTGTGAGGACGCTAAGATTTAACATATTGAAGCAGAAGCAATAGGTTTTTTTTTTGTTGCTGCTTACTTTAATTGAACGATCACCTTGGGGTCAATCTGATAAAGCCTCGGCCTCCTTTCCTCTGGCGATGGCTATCCCGCCAGATTGAAACCAAAGGGGGATATGTCTCCTGACCCGGCTGCCTTCCTAATCCTCAGTGCCCAGATTACCCCCCCCTCCCTCCTCCTGGCAGACTGGCAGCAATGTGCACCAGAGCTGGGACAGGATAAAGACTGAAGGAGAGAGGCTGGTGGTGTCTCCTCCTGTAATATGCTAACACTCTGCTGCTGATATGTCTCATCATTTGTTTCGTCTGCTTTTTCTTTATGTCCATCTGTGGCCTGCTAGAGGTAGATTTCTGCTCTGGAAATGAAAAACAACCCATTTTACCGTTCTTATCCTTTCTCTTGCAAAATGCTTATTAGGGCAGAACTGCACCAGTTACAACGACATTCAAAAAGACAAGAAAGAAATAATACATTTGTGCAGTGATGACTTTCTGAGCTTTAGGACTCATTCCTGCACCACTCTGTATACGTACATACATTCATACACATATATACTATGTACACACAAACACATCTTCAGGTAATTGCAGTGATTATTTCTGTTGACAGAGGATTTGTCTTTTGACGTAGCCAGCACTGAATAATCATTCTTTACCTCTAAGCTACCTCTATCACCGTTTACACGTCTTTTCCCTGATTTCCTCCCTCTCTCTTTCTCCGGCTCTCCTTCCTCACATCATTTCGGTTTCCCTTGACCTTCTGCTCGAGCCCAAAGGCTTATTGTCCAATTCATCTGTCCTCCAATCTCTCCCCATTGTGCTTATTGTTCCTCTCACTTTCTCCTCCTCCCGTTCCTGCCTCCGCCATCATCCAGATACTTTGATTTATAAGCTTGCAGCAAAGGCTCCCCCTCCTCCTCCTCCTCCTCCTCCTCCTCCTCCTCCTTCAGCCGAAGACAGAGCATTTGAGAGATAGCAGTAGAGAGGCTGAAAGGCGGGGAGGGGATTTGCCAGCCAAAAGAGGAAGGCACAAAGCATTTGAATGTCGGCGAGCGTTTGCCACAGATTTGCGTACCTGTGCCTGAAGCGGACAGGAAGTGGGTTTTCTCTCTTTCAGTAAGCGACAGGGAGAGGCCAGAAGGTGGGCAGATACGGTCGCAGTGAACCTGGGCACCCAGGAAAGAGAGTTAATTAAAAGATAGCACGCACACGGACAACTTTTTAAACGATTATTCCAAAACTTCCTGCCCTCATGTTGAGCCGGATGGGACTTGATCTGTTCTCTGTGAGCGCTGCTCACTGATCTCCTTGCTGTGTGGCTGCACTTCCTTAAAGTAGCCCAACTTCTTTTCACAATCATATTTATAATTAGTCTCCGTGCTTTAATGTTCAAAAAGCTCTTTATTTCTCTCATACTGCCTCTTTTCACCCTCTGTCTGAAACCAGAGCCCAGTCTGCTCTGATTGGTCAGCTGGCCGGCTCTGTCGTGATTAGTCAGCCACTCAGAGATGTCACGTACAATGTGTTGGAGTGCTAGACCAATAGTTTCAGGAGAACATGACTTGTTTTACTGTTATGACTTAGCAGTTGTTGACACTAATGCAGTGTAATGTTTATCTGGTTAATAGCTCGGGTAGGGCTGGGCAATTTCTTTTTAATTAAAAATTCGGCTTCCAACGGTTATGAAAACAAGATAATCGAGATAAAGTGATAACGGGCGACAGGAACAACAAAAACAAACACTGAGCAAGATTTGTTACCCAGTGATGTCCGCACCACAAGGCAATTTAAGCAATTTGTTTAATCATCTGAAACACAGAGGGAACAAACAATAAAAAAAGAGTAGAACCGAAAAAAGTAAATCGTGACTTCTTCCATCGCAACACATCTCTCTAATGCAACCTCGCTAAATGCTATATGTTATTCATTTAAAGGGGCCATATAATGCTTCTTAGTACCTTTCCTGTAGTGTGTTTGCATATAGGTTTTTGTGCATGTAAACGGTCTTCCGGAACATAGTGACATCACTATGTAACACTCGTGTTTTAAAATACTAATATGTCTTGTTTTCATAGACACATGCGAGCTAAATCAATGCAAAGATTTACATTTCCCAGCTGCAAATGTGTCCAACTGGATGGATGACTCTCACATTGGAAGGAGACTTTTTGCCCCCGGCTGTTGGGAGAGAATCAAGTCTGCTGTAAAGAAATATGCTATCCATCTCACAAAACAACATTTGTTTGCCTGCCAGTGCCTTCAAAACCGCTAACAAGATTAGGGAGTGCACAATGGCAGCGGTCCCTCTTCTCCCTCCCTCTCCCTCCCTCTCTTCTCTCCCCCATATTCCCTCCCATTTTGTTTCGAGCTCATTTGCCAGCACAATGCAGACATTCACCTCCTCTGCTCGGGAGCTGCAGCACAAACACACATGCAGGAAACTATGTATGAGAATGTTGATTATACTACTGTACTTTTACTAAAGTAACATTTGGAGCGCAGGTCTTTCACCTGTAGTGGAGAATTTGAAGACTATAAATATTTCTACTTTGACTTAAGTAAAGAATATCTTCCACACACACACACACACACACACACACACACACACACACACACACACACACACACACACACACACACACACACACACACACACACACACACACACACTTGAACACACACTTGAACACACCCTAGCCTCTGGCCAACCTGCTCCTGTGCTGTACACTATTCCCATAAATGGTGGTGGTGTGTGTGTGTGTGTGTGTGTGTGTGTGTCAGATTGCTCCAGGCTGTGTTTGAGGCAATTTATTCCTATAAAAATATTGATTGTTTTTCTGCAAGATCGTGACTCGACAGCAGCCGACATATATGAACAGAGGCATTGAGAACTGCTCCGTTTAAGAGTTTGATTATAGGAAATCCAACACAACATATTAATGGAAAATGTGTTGCTACACTCCTTTTCCCGCTTATCTTCTGTGGTTTCTTGTTTCCATTATTCTCTCATCACAAAGAGGCCCCAATATGCTCCTGTTTGTTATTAAGCCTTACATCTGACTAAATCTCTGTCTGTGTCTCCTCTCACCCTCCAGGTGCCTACAGATGTTTCTATGGGTCTGTTGGCAGAGCCCCAGGTGGCCATGTTTTGTGGAAAACTCAACATGCACATCAACGTTCAGAGCGGCAAGTGGGAGCCGGACCCCTCGGGCACCAAGAGCTGCATCGGTACCAAGGAGGGCATCCTGCAGTACTGCCAGGAGGTAAAGAGGGGTGTGTGTGTGTGTGTGTGTGTGTGTGTGTGTGTGTGTGTGTGTGTGTGTGTGTGTGTGTGTGTNGGCAAGGCTGCTGGGGGTGGGGGGAATAATGCACCACACTAAACACACACACACACACACACACACACACACAGGCATGCAACAAGTGTGTGAATAATTTAATTATTCACACACTTGTTGCATGCCTGTGTGTGTGTGTGTGTGTGTGTGTGTGTGTTTAGTGTGGTGCATTATTCCCCCCACCCCCAGCAGCCTTGCCCCCACAGGTCTCTCTCTGAACTCGTCTCAACCTGCTCATCTCTGAAGGTTTCACCTCTCAGGCTGGCAGTCTCTCTGAATAACTTTAAATGAAGGACACTGCAAAGAAAACAAACTCCCTGTGTGTGTGTGTGTGTGTGTGTGTGTGTGTGTGTGTGTGTGTGTGTGTGTGTGTGTGTGTGTGTGTCAATGCTGGAGATCTGCTTACTCTCAGCAATAACTCACACACATGGGATGTGTGCCTGCAGGCATGTATGCACAGTTCCGGGCTTGGGAGCCCTGCCTTGTAATTACCACAGGAGGATGCTTTTAAAAAGAAAAAAGAAAACTTGCATTATGTTAAATAAAGCTGGGATGCAGTTTGCACAACTCGAGGTGAAGTGTTTATTGCACTTTTAAGTCATGATTTTTCTGATATAAGCAGGTTCGATGGTTATGATGCAGAAATCTTAAATGAAAGTGCACAAGAACAGGATTTTTTTGCACCTTTTAACTGATATAAGCAGGGTCTGTATACACCCAAAAAGTGTGAAGTGTGCACACCTTAATGATGTAGAAATCATTCTTTGTTCACAATAAAGGTTTTTCTGCAGTCTTAACTGTATCCTTCATCCAACTTTTGAATGTTACTCTACCTCCCTGCAGCTAATCTTTCCATGTCAATGCCTGCATGCGGTTTTAAAAGCAGACTTCTGACTCTCTCCGTGTGGGTGGTCCTCGGAGGTCCTGTCTCTCCACACGCTGGGGGACAATGGCACCATGTCCTTCACCCCCCCCTCTCCTTCACCCAATACCGCCCCTTCACACACACACACACCGCCAGCAGCAGCAGCAGCAGCTCCTCTCCCCTGCCCCCATCCAGATCAAAGTTTCCAGCTGTTTTCAAGCTAGTGTGGAGGAGTTCCCAAAATGTGATCGGTGGAACTTCAGCTTCCCCAAAGCTGTACACATCTGGAAGTCTTACCATTATCAAAAACATCAAGAAAAGACATCTAGCTCTTTGTAAATGTATTGATTAAACTCACCGGAGAATAAACAAAGCAGCAGCGAGCTCCTCAACACCCCCCAGCTCTCAGTATGCGTCCTCCTCCAGGGGCTCTCCATGACTCGGCTCTCCTGTGCGCTTTTATTCTCAATCAATCTGCAGTGGATCACACTAACTCAGAAAAGTCGCTTCTTCCCAGTCACCTTTTTGGCTCCTCCAGGATAATTGTTGGAGCCTACCGCTTTTAACCCAGCAGCAGACTTCGGGAAACATGTCTCCTTAGGAAAAAAAGTGCAGTTCCGTTTGTTCCTCCACGTGTGTGCAGTGTTTCTGCCCCGTCCTGCTCCCACACCTACGGGCGTTTTATTCCGATCTCCTCCCCCGGTTTGCTCACATTACCATGTTGAGTTTACACTGACGAGGAAGGCAGCCACGATCTGACACAAAAACGTTTTCAAAATAAGAGTCTAATTAACACAGCAATCACTACGTTACAAATCATTCAAATTGTATTGTTTGTGCACAATTGGCCCAGTAAGGAGATATAATGCTTTTTCTAGTAAATATCATATTAAACTTAATCTGCTCTGACAAAAAAAGAAATTAAAAGACATTCAATTGAACTTTGACAAGCTATAATGGACGTTTTTCACTATTTTATGGGCCATAGCTACAGTTAAATAATCGATTAGAAAAACAAAAGTCATTGCAGGCATAAAATAAATGTTTATAAATAGTCGTTTTTTTAATCGAAATCTTAATGTCAAGTTATTAAATTAAGTCTACTAAAAGTATTTTTTTTAATAAATGTGACATTAGTTTGAGCTTTTATTTTGAAGGCCTTAGCCTGGTTATGTCTGTCACGCTTTACGCAGCAGGAGGGAAAACGTTTTCCATGGGTTCTATGTATTTATGTGCGCGTGTCACATGCTTCACGTGGTATTAGTCACATCACGACCTTCTTTTAAAGTTAAAATCAAAACCGGCACAAAGATTCACAGCAGGCCGCTTCACACCTGGAGAAAATAACGCCAGACGCACTACTTTGTGTTGTTAGGTCACGTCTATTGTGTCAGGGATGGGGCCACTTTATCCAATTCCCCCTTCTGCTACACACTGGTGACATTTCAAACACACTCACATGTTAAATAACAAGTCAACTTTTTAGCTTTTGCGATGAGTGTACAAAAACATGTATGTAAAAGTACACCATCCAAAAAGGTAGAGTTATACTTTGTAAATTAAACGTTTAGCCATTAAGATTATTTAATCTGAATCCTGGTTTAATCAATTTGCCATGATTTAAACTTTAATTGGCAGCCATGGGTGGCAAAGGGATGCAGATAATTTGGGAGATGCCACCCACATGGAGCAGCGGTGAGTCATAACGCTTTCCACATGTGGGACTCTCAGACTTAAAAAATCAGCAGGTATAAAAAAAAAATGTTTAATTACCTGCATACATATTAACGCCGGTTTTTCTTTGTCAAGGCGAAAAAGAGCGTGCAGTATACATTTTGCCCTACACAGGGCTGTCCCTGGGCACTTGGGCCAACTCCCCCCCCCCCC